CCTCCTGATATCTAGCCTAAATCTACCCTCTACCAGCTTGTGACCGTTATTCCTGGTAACTCCTGGCAGTGCTCGGGGGAACAGGGACTTCCCCAATGCCTGCTGATCCCCCCTGACTAGTTTGTAACAGGCCACTAGATCCCCCCTCAGCCTTCTCTTCTGGAGGCTGAACAGGTTCAGGTCCCGTAGCCTCTCCTCATATGCCGGTTAATAAAGTGCCAGGTAACACAGCTTTTACTGTACATCTTCTCAGTGCTTTCTACTGGCTAGGCTTGGCAGTTCCCTGCTTTGGGTGCTGGTTTTTGAGGATTCAGCTCCAGGTGCCTAATTCCTCCATGCGCTGAATAAAGAAGCTTAGGTACTTAACTCAGAGAGGTGACAGGGAACTGAAACTTGGGTACTGTCAGGTTTGGGGGTCAAAGGAACCCTGAGGAAATAGAGTTCTTTCATTTCCATGAACTAGATGAGATGTAGTTACTATAATTAATAATGAATTATAAAAATTAAATCTCACAAAAGATTAGCAGACACAGTCTAACTCCTCGCATAACTACCTGGAAAAAAGAACTGACAGAAGCTATATGGTACTACAGCATAGTCCCTGATATATACTCTGTGAAAGTGGTTCGTAGACCTTTGTCAACCTTTGTAGACTTAAGGCACCGCTCTTGTTAGCTCTTAGTTTTCAATTAATGTTTGCCTCGGGAAAGATAATAAAACAACTTTTCTGTTGCAAAGAACTCAGAAAGACCACAACAGGTCAAAACGTTTTTAACACTATGGATTCCTATTTGAAATCTCTGGGTTTATCTTGTGAAACATGTTTGCACAACTGTGAAAGTGCTAATGTTGGGGGCACCCTTGAAAGGACCTCAAGGCACCTCAGGGGGCCAAAGACCCCAGTAAAGAATCACTCCTCTAAGATCTATGCAATGTGTCCTGCTAAATCCAACTGGCTGATTGTAACAATACTTTATGATGCCAAGATAAAAAAAGCAGTAGATAATTCTTCCATTAATTAAACACTATTTCACCATTGTAATAATATCTTTGAAAGAACACAAGTTTGATGGTGATGTTGAAAATCTTATTTTACTTACCAGGTCACAGTCTCCAAGATCTAACTTCTCTAAGGTAGAATTGACTTGCAGCATTGAAGCAAAGTACATTCCACCTTTGTTTCTGATTTTGTTGCCCGTCATTCTCAGATATAGGAGTGCTTCATTCCTCTAAGCAAGAAAATTAAAAGGATCTTCCTCAAATCCTCCAAATGTGATGCTACTTTTTACCTGGGATTCATGAATGGATGCCATTTTCTGCAAGGAACAGTTCTAATGGATTACGCTAGCTAAACAGCTGGCTGGATCTTTCCTGAGAGCACTCCAAAGTATAAGAATTTGGAGCATACGAAAATTCTAAATTATTTAAGGGTCTCTGCGTTTCCAGTGTAAGCTCCTAATTTCCATAGGCATATTAAACCCCAGGCTGGCAATTATGTCTAAGCTGAGGGCCCAATTGACACAAATAATAAACAATTACAAGTAGAGGTGCGCTGATACATTGGTCCAATATCAGATCGGCACTGATATAAAGAAAATTGATTGTATTGGAAATAGGCCTGATGTGGCCGATAATTTGACCGATAAATGCCCGTTCATGTGTGCAGCCACAGCGCAGCATGCAGGCAGCGAGAAACACAGCCTGGCAGCTTGGAGAGCTGCATGCAGCTGGTAAGTCTGTCGTGGTAGAAAGGAGGGGGAGAGGGAAGAAGCATGGGGGGGGCAAATCAAGGCCTCCATGGTGAGGGAGGGAGTGGGGCAGAGGCTGGGGCAGGCACCACCCAGCCAGGGCAGGGCACGGGATGGAGCAGCGGCTCATCCAAGAGCCATGGGGTAGTGGGAGCAGCTTCTGCCACTGCACGCACCTGGGGGCTGCGATCGGGACAGGCGGTGGCGCTGGAAAGGGGCTACAAGGGGGCTATGGCAAAATCTGGGATGGCTGCGCCCCCCCCCATAACCCCACTCCCAGCACTACCACCCACCCACCCCAAACGCAGCTCCAGCCCAACAGTTCTCCACCCCACCTCTCCCCCCAACATGCCAGGAAGAGGCCAGCACAGCCCTGGCCACATCTGCAGTCTCCGCCACCCCCTCCCCCTCATGCAGATCCGGGGGCACACACCCCTCCCATGCCCTCCTGGGGTGCAGGCAGCGGTGGGAGCCACCCCTCCGGACAAGCCATGGCTCCATCCAGTGCCCCGCCCCAGCTGAGCAGCACCTGCCCCAGCCCTATTCCTTCCCTTACCGCAGGGACCTTGGTATCCCACCCCACACCCTTTCCTTCCCCCCATTCCTTTCAGCACAACAGAGTTATCAGCTGCACGCAGCTGTATTGGAAATCAGATCAGCATCGGCCAATATGCCTTTTTAAAAATTGGTTATTAGTATCGGCCCCCAAAATCTCTAGTGGTGCACCCCTAATTACAACTGTATACAAATTGGGTGCTTTAGTTTTAAGCACATCAAAAACAAAAAGCGCATCAAAAACAAAATAAACCTTATATTACTTATGCATTACTGTACTAGAACTGCACAGTTCTATTTAAGTCATTTGGATCAATTTTTTCCAGAAGTCTCCAATACTATTCACGATGAGGCACAAAGGACTCGACTCCAGTTGGGCTAGTATGGCAGCAAGTGTGTTGGGCAGGGAAGGAAAAATCTGTAAGTCAGCGAGCACCCTCCAGATTAGAAAGCCAGAGCTAATGGTGAACCAGCTGCATATCAGAGATAAGGATGAGACCTTTTTTAAGAGCCAAATCATTTTTGGAATGTTAAATCTTGTCTAATTGACACCCTGGGTACACTGAAGAAGTACAGGAAACAAAGGCGTTTCCCTACATTTCTAGCTTTTTGCCTAGAAACACCTCCTCCATAGAAGTCTGACACACAGACAGGTTCAGGGGGAAGAAGGAACAGATTTATGGTGCATCAACACTGAGCTTTGTGATTTCAGCAGGAAGGAAATTTGATAAGAACTTTAATGCCACGTACTCCTTACTCTTTAAGTGCAGAATTATCGGTACTCCCCTAACAAAATCCACCGGGTTGCCCATGGATGCTGTCCTAATCACCTGATGAAGGATGTTAGGAAATCAGCTGGTTAACTGGTCAGTAATAAACTGATATTTGTCAAGCAGCAATCCAGAGGCAAACTGTTCCAGAACTGATTTAAGTCAATTAACTGATCCTTATCTCTCACAGCATCTGTTATCTCACACATTTGTGCCAACATGTAATATTTTTTTATTGAGAAAACTAGAATCTACAGTTCACTCATAGACCCTTTGTGACATGATTAGACACAGGCCCATAGGAATACTCATTTGCAGATAGTTAAAATCTTTGCAGGATGGGGATCTTTGATGCCAAATTAAGACTGATCCCAAGTCTCATGGACAAAAACTTCTTGTCGACTTCCTTGGCCACTTCAGCATCAGCAAGATCAAGCCTATTTACAGAGCACAAGTTTGGGGTTTTTTTCATTCCTCAGGGCCCTTGTAATCACTCAGAACAGAGAGGTGGTAAGCCATGTTAGTCTGAAGTCAGGCAGAAAGTAGGGCAGTGGGGCACCTTAAAGAATAACTGATTCAGAGAAGCATAAGCTTCTGTAGGCAACAGCCTGTTTCATCAGCCTCTCCAAAGCAGTGATGCACCCTCATTTCAGGGATTTGGTGTGTGCAGACCTGAAGTGAACAGGACATGCTTCTCAACAGCAATCCCAGGCTTCTCCCAGTGAAGCACCATAGACATGCCCTTAGTGTTGTCTAGCAGAAAATACAATAGCAAGCCAGATGCTGTTGCAAAGCTGCTGCCTTCACAGAGTACTTACATGTAGTGCTTTGGCTATCAGCTCTGCTCCACTGGTACCAATCTCATTAAACATTAGATTGAGATAGCGCAGGGATGAATTTTTCTAGAAGCAAACAAGAAGAAAAAACTGAACACAAAAATTCATTTTGCACACCTTTTCTCATGAGCTGTGCACGGCCTGGTCTGGTAGGAGTCCCCTGAAAATGCTAACAGGCCCTGTAGAGCAGCAGCAAAATGCCTAGTTTTTGGTTCCTGACTTACACTTAGGTGCGAGTCAGGCACCAATCTGCTCAGCACTGTGAAGATTAGAAGTTCTGGGCATGCATAAAAGCAGATCTTTAGGTGTCTAGTGAACTTTACTGGCAAGAACTTAGGTGCCTAGGAACCACCAGGGTTAAGCAGAAATGGAGCAAGGCTCTGAGGATCAGTGTTCTGCACTTGGGTACTTGGAGTGACAGTTAAATAACACTTAGTCACCTAACTTTTTTGTGGATCTAGATATAGTTGCTTAATTCAGGGCCATGAATTCCACTAGATAGCAAGATGATGCACTACTCAGCACTGCAATGCCCAAGTCCTTTTGCAGACCTAATTCTAAGGCTACAAACTGTCTTTGTCCATTTCTATTAGCCTTTCCTCATGATGCATGATATGTTACCAAAATATTGTACAGGTGCCTTTTTTGCAATCTGTACTTTATAAACCAGACACAGAGACAACAGCAACAATTCTAGGGTGAATACAACCTTGTATTCTAGTTTGATTGATCTGAATTTGAACAAACAAGGACTTTTGACAAAACACTGCATTCTGTTGCTGATTCACTGCAGGTAAGTGTTACCATAGTCCATGGGTGGGTAATTCTTTAGGCTGGAGGGCCACTTAATGAGTTTTGGAGAGCTGTTGAGGTCCAGGGGGAGAGGTAAAGTGGGAAAGGTAAGGAGATGCTAATTGATTGTATTCAGCCCACTGGCCAGTGCTGTGAGCCTGAGGGAGGGCTGCGCCCCATGCAGCTCCACTCAGTTGCAGCCAGGACAAGGCTGGGTAGTACAGACTCCGCCACCCTCCCCACATCCATTCCTCCCCAGCCTGGTTTCCTGTTGATGCTGTGGCCACCAGCAGATAGGCCTGCACAGGATAGGGTGCGATGCAGTGTGCCAAGTAGCCATCCTGCACACCTGTCTGCTGCAATGAGCTGCTGCCACTGTGCCACACCAGGAAATTCAGGCACAGCTGCCCCAGGCTGAGTCCCCGCTGCAGTCAGCATGGACTCAACTCCCAGTGGCACTGTGACAGCAGTGACTTATTATTGTGGGCTGGGGGGATGGCTACTTGGCACACTGCATTGTACTCTGTCCATGCAGACCCGTCTGCCATCATGCCAGGCCTGCGCAGTGCCAACAAGAAGTTGGGAAGGGGACAGCAGGGAGGGCAGAAGAATCTGCACGCTGTGCAGTCCAGCCCTGGCTGAGGCAGTGAGGAGCACATCCCTCCCTCCTCAAGCTCCTGGCAGAGGCCAGTGGGCCAGACAGGATCAACTCACAGGCCAGGCAGGGCTCATGGAATGTGTTTTGCCCACCCACACCATAGCCAATGAAACCACAAACTTTAGGGAAACATCAAGTTTAATTTTGGCATAGAGTAAAATACCTGAAGAAATTCTGCAATATGCTTTGCTCCAACATCAGTTAATACATTATATCTAAGGTCTAGCCCTGAAAGACAAAAAATACAGGAACAAATGTGACCATCTAATAATACTTATCAATATCTGATTGATCTCCAGAGGAAAAGAATGAACAACAAACCACAGCTGAAAAACTGTTCCTTGTTTCAAACTTAGAATACTAAAGATGTATTTTAGTATGACAAAGCAAACCTGTGATAAAGATGTTCTTGGGTAACATGCAGACAAGCACATAAAGATCTTCATCTGTAATTTTCTGTACAGGCACTAAGCGGTTATTTCCAGCTATTTTTAATGTGAACACTTTTGTCAACCTGTAATAATGCAAAAATACAACAGAAGAAAGAGAAAACTCCTTAGTTTTATACATATGAAGAAAAAGAGATCTAATCGTGTCTGCTGTTATTTTTTATTGAGATTGTGACATCTGGATCACTCAGTAGGCAATGCAAATTCTTGGCTGTCCATTGTGGTAGTCAGGACACAATGTATTGCCACAAAGCCATAGTGAGTTTGGCATAGAGGACGATCATTCTGGAAGGATCTTTCCATCCATTCATTCCATTATTTTTAGTCCCTTTCCTTTGCTTACTCCATCCCCGCAATAACTGAAGGGAACAAAACCAATTCTCTCTTTCCATTTGCTCTCATGTTCCCTCAGGATTGCTACCTATAACAAGGTGGACATTCTGTCTAAAGGTAACTGTGTCATGCCTGGTCACATCCTTAGAGAAAGCCCAAGAACGGGCCATAGTTTGGTGGTTAATTCAGCACCAGGCTTGAAAGACAACTCAGAGAAGTGCTACCAGCTGACAACTAATTAGGTGCAGCTGATCCTGTTTAGATGCATTCTCTGGCAAGGGTGAAAGAGAACAAGTAGTTTGTGCTGACCAGAAGCTAGGGTAGCCTACTCTACAGGAAACAGAGACATTACCTCATCTGTGTTGCACTTCTTGACTTGACTGCTTGTAAAGCTGTCTGGCAAGAATATACTGCTAGAGGCTTTTGTCAAGCTGATGTCAATATGAGTTAAACCAGAACCCCTGCAATAGTATGAGGGGTTGATTTATGTTTAAATCATAGACTCCAGTGAAATTTCTCATCATTCCATTCCTGGTCCTGTTACACAGCCCAAGGCTTTCAGAAGCATTTGAAATATGCACTTTGTTACTTCCTT